CCGTCTTTGGAATATCAGCCTTGTGTAGCCGGATCTGATGGTACCCAGCCCTAAGGTCGAGCTTAGAGAAATAACGAGATCCTCCTAGCTCGTCGAGCATGTCGTCGACACTTGGTATGGGAAAGCGGTCCTTGATTGTCGCGGCATTCAATGCTCGATAGTCAGTACTCTTCGCTAAGAGCACTGGCGATGAGAACGGGCTTGAGCTATGCTGAATGAGCCCGGACTCAAGCATCTCGCCAACTTGCCTTTCAATCTCTGTCTTCTGAAAGTGAGCATATCAATACGGATGTACGTGCACGGCGTGTTGCTCGTTGGCTAACGGTATGCGGTGATCGAACTCCCGGTGCGGGGGTAGGCCCTTGGGCTCGCCCAGCACACGGTCCAACTCCTCGAGTAACGCGCGCACCTCGCCCTGCTGCAGGTCGGACTCGGTTATGGGTGCGATCGCGTTCTCAACTACTACTGCAAAGATTTGGCCGCCCCCGCGCCAAACCCGCTCAATGCTCTTGAGACTAACCTCCTTGGTCCCACTGGTCTCACTGGCTTTTAGCGTGACTTGCTGTTCTCCTGCTTTGAACATCATGACTCCAGTTTTGTAGTTGGTGGTCACTTCTCCTAAACCTTCGAGCCATTGCACTCCTAAAACAACGTCGGGTTCAAACAAGGGTAGTGCGTAGAGATCGGCCTTGATGGTGACACCTTGGAACTTGATTGGCACCTTGCGATAGGACTCGGTGCACTTGAGCCGTTCCCCATTGGCTACCCGGACCTCGAATGGTCCTATTGCCGTTGTGGGCAAATTTCAGCTTTTGGGATAGCGTGGTGTTGATGAAATTGTGGGACGACCCATTATCCACGAGCACAACCACGCGGCGGTCCTTGACCCATGCCGGTAGCCGCATCATCCTTGGGCCTCGAGTTCCTGCCATTGCGTGCATCGAGATTTCAGCTTCTTCCTCGAGCACATCAACTTCTACATCGCCTTCCTCAACATCGGGCTCCTCGTCATCCGTGTCAATAACGTCTATCAGGAATGCTTGTTTACATCGGTGGCCAGGGGTAAATTTCTCTTCGCACTTGAAACATAGCCCCTTTTCACATCGACGTCTCATCTCCTCGAGCGATAGTCACTTGATCTCCGGGTTTGGTGGTCGTGTACTGCTTGGTGGCTTGATGCTCAGCGCGACATTGGTTGTACATCGCAGCTCGGGGAAACGTGCGTCGGCCCGTCCCTTTCGAGTAGCGGCGAGGTGATCATCACGGCGCCGGGCAACCTCATTGGCCGCATGCATCGAGTCGGGCCGCTCCAATCGAACCTCACCGGCTAGATCATACTTAAGCCCGCCGATAAATGCCTCGAACAATGCAGTTTCGGGCCAGTCCTTGACGTGACAAGCTAGCTTCTCGAACTTCTTCAAGTAATCGCGCAGGCTGCCTATTTAGCGTATACGCGAAAGGGCCTCGTCGTAATTATGGTAGTTGAAAGTCCCAAAACGCGTGAGTAACTCGCGCTCGAAATCACCCCACCTAATGACTCGCTGTCGGTTGTGGTAGACGTTCGTGAGCCATTGCCACCAGACGTTAGCCTCGCCATCTAGGTAGTAGGCCGCATACCGCATGCGGTCATTGGCCTCGATCTCGTTGAGCTCAAAGTATTGCACGGCCCGGTTGAGCCATGCCTCTGGATCGGTGCCGGTGAAGGTGGACAGCGTGAGCCTCGGTTTGTCGAGCCTCGGGCGGTCGTGCACGTTAGACGCTTGCGACCGTTGATCGAAGTCCTCCTCGTGCTCGCGCTCATCGTGCCGATGTTCCTCCTCCTCAGGTCGATCGCGCCACGGCTGTCGTGGAGGTGGCCACGCATTGTGTTGGAAGCCGCGCGCCATCTCATCGAACCTCCGGTTCACGGTCTCCATTAAATCATGAACCGAGCCTTAGTCGTGTCGAGCCCCTCGCCTAGAGTGTCCATAGCTTCGCTCAAGCTTCGGACTTGAACGTCTAGGTTCTCGATCTTATCCTTCATCTCCTTGTTGGCCATGGCTTTCTTTTCTTGCTTTCGTTCTTTACTTCGTGGACTCGTTTTGAAGTTTTTTATTTTTTGGGATTTTTCTTTTTTATTTTTTTTTCATTTTTTATTTTTTTTTTATATGGGGGGACGAAAATAAAGAAGAAGAAAAGGAAACGGAATGGGATAGGAAAAGACACACGATCTAGATACTCTCAATGAAAACACCAATGATGAAGATCGCGTGTCTCGATTGCCGATAAGCCACAAACCCTTGCCTTGAACCGACGATAGGTGTCTCTCGAGCCACGTGAGCGCCTCTTGAAATGATAAAATTGCAAAAGAAATCAAGAAGAAATCTAAGGCGAAGTGTTTGAACAAAAGTTCGGTTTTTCTATTAATTTCTGAATGATAAAAAATAACAAGAAGAAAGGGCCTTTATATAGGCATCAAATAGATCTATTCCTAATCTAGCTATAACTCTAATAAAGCAATAAAATATTAAGTATCCTAAACAATCTAGAAATCAGGGATCTTGAAAAGCCTTGACTTGCACTCCAAGCCAAAAATCCCTAACCGCCCTACTTGCTGCCTTTGGACCCCCGCGCGCTTTGCCTTTGTCCTCGAGGACTAGGGTCGCGTTGCCCGTCCTCGCGCGTGCCTCCCCGCCGCGCGCCTAGTTCGCGTCCTCGCGCGCGTCCCTCGCGCCAGCATTTTGCCCGTGCGCTAGTCGCGCACTCTCCTTCGCCGGGTCTCCCTTGCTCGCCTCGCACGCCCGCACGTGATGGCTCGCGTCTCACCCCCCTGCCGCGCTAACCTCTTGTGCGCATTATAGGCCCGGCTCGAGGCGTTCTTTAGTTGCCTAGCCACATCCGCATCACCGCACCGTGCCGCATAGGCTAGGCTGTGCCTCTGCCCGTGTCCAGCGTCAGCGCACGTGATGCACATCAGCCCCCAGTGCACGCGACAACGCCCAGCAGTGCCTGTCTGTGCCAGTGTGCGAGGTCTTGGTGCCAGTCGCACCCAAGCACCTCCAACAGCGCCCAGTAGCGTTGTCCCAGCATCAATGCATGCGTGGATTCGAGCCAGTCGCTCGTGCCATGCGGAGTAATCCCAGTGTCGTGTTCAGCAGGCCTTAGGTCGTGCCCAGAAGCACGCCCGAGTGCTCAGTTGGCCCGAGACGTGCCCAGCAGCACGCCCGCGTACCTAGGGTCGCCCGGCAGCGCCCTAACAGCCCAACCGTGCCAAAGCCGCGCGAGTGGTGTCTGGCCTTGTCAGTTCTCGTGCCAGTCGCACTAGGTAGTGCCCAGTCGCACGCCCCAGCACCCAGTCGACCTCGGTTGTGCCCAGTAGCACCCGGGTGGCACCCAGCCGTGCCAGCAGAGTCTGGTTGCGCCTGTCAGCGCCCAACACCGAGGCCCGGTCGCACCCAGTTGTGTCTAGCGCGTGCCAGGGCACCAGCAGGCCCTGCGCGGGACCAAGCCCGGCCTGTCCCAGCAACCCGTGACCACCCGGTCCTGAGTGACCCGGTCTAACCCAGCCAGCGGTTCGAGTCAGTTTTGGTTCGTGATTTTCGGTCCGAGTCTTATTCCGAAATTTAAGTAATTTTCCGAGCCAAACCAGATCAGTTAAGCATATCAGTCTAATTTCCGGACTTAGAGTTATTTTAGTGAACCCATAGAGCGTTCCTTTATATCCGGATGAGCAATCTGATAGAGTAGAGCATCTTAGCATATTATTGAGCATATGACGAGCATAGTACTTAGTATATTTGTTTGCTTATATTTTTATGTAGCTTGAGGAGTCAGCTACCAGCACAGCCGCACTTACGTATTTTCAAAGCATATCAGGTTGGGACCCAGTCTGGGTTATACATTGAGTATAATAGTCGATATCATGTTCAGGTATATGTATGAGTTTTATCCGCTTGGGGTTAAGGCCAAGCTTGCCTTCCCTAAGTTCTGGTGGTGGCCCAGTTTGCCTTAAATATACCATCAGAGTGTGCACATGGTACCGACCAAAGTGTCCGGGAGTTACCGGCCAGAGCGTCCGGGAGATTTCAGTTACCGGCCAGAGTGTCCGGGAGTTTCAGTTTACTTATACATACCAGTACTGTGATATCATTATTATTATTGTTGTTTATTTTAGCCTGGGTTTTTATGGAGTACAAGAGGACCAGTACACACCCCCATTATGTTTTTCAGAGACGGAGTCGGCGGGCAGGCGTGAGTCTTGCTGTGGTGGTTGTGGTCGTGGATTGGGCACAGCTAGCCGATTCGTGGACATTTGTTTACTCTGTTTTGTATAACTATTATGCTACGCATTTTAAGACTTCCGCAACGTTTATTTTATGTTCGAACTTGCTTGACAGTACTTTTCAGATTTAAATAATTTACCCAGTTCGCCAGTATGAACGGGACCAGTTTAATATGCATGTTCAATAAAAGATTTAAATCTATTTTTCTTAAAGTCTAAACCAGTCGTTAGACCGAATTTAAAAGAGAACGGATTTTAAAGCATATAAGTTTTTAGCAGCATCCCGAGTTGGTTTGCAAATGATTTCAAAAATTTATAAGCGTTTCGAAGGTAGAATTTGCAAAAAATTGGCCCTAAGTAGCGGGGTGTTGCACTTTGCAGTCTTCTAGAAGGGTGATTAGGGTAAGGAGGAATAGCACTTCTAGATGGAAAGGATATGGAACATAATTAGGATTTCTAAACCTAATGGGATAAGTCCATATTTAGCACTTCTTTAAGGTCCATAATGTAGCCTATAAATACACCATGTCCCAACCTCTTCCCTTACACATATGAGGCACAATTTTGAGGTCTTCCCAAAAGAGGAAAATCGAGCATCATAGCATATTCGAGAGTTCGGGAAATTCGATTAATCGCACCGCCAAGATTAGTCGAAGTAGGTGTTTAAGTAATACATTAGAAGGCTTTAAGGTACAATTCATTCAAGCCTTTAGTGCACTTAAATTCTAGCCAGATTAACCGTTGTCCATCACCGCCCATCATCGTCAGTGTCCACCAGCGCCCAGTCGTACGCAGTCGCGAGCAAGTGCCCGCAGCTACATGCAGCCAGATGCCGGTGCCTGTCCCTAGTGACGATCGCCAGCACCCGCACCGAGCCATCAGCCCCGCACGCATGTTCACGCACCGTCGCCGCCCGTGTTCTTCGCGGCTGCTCCCCAGCGCGAGAAACACGCGCGTCATTTTCCTCACATGCCTAGGATACGTGCAGCCACGCCCGCGTCCCCATCACCCGCGCGTGACCAGCGTGATGAAGATCGCGTGTCCCGATTGCTGATAAGCCACAAACCCGTGCCTTGAATCGACAATAGGTGTCTCTCGAGCCACGTGAGCGCCTCTTGAAACGAATAAAATTGCAAAATAAATCAAGAAGAAATCTGAGGCAAAGTGTTTGAACAAATGTTTGGTTTTTTGTATTAATTTCTTAATGATAAAAATAACAAGAGGAAGGGCCTTTATATAGGCATCAAACAGATCTATCTCTAATCTATCTATAACTCTTCTAAAGCAATAAAATATTAAGTATCCTAAACACTCTAGAAATCTTATGCAAAGAAGGAAACTAAATATGTGGAGAATCCTAGGTGATCTTGTCTTGCACTCCAAGTCAAAAACCCTAACCACCTTAGCCACCGCCTTTGGTCCCGTGCGCCTCGCCTTAGTCCTCAAGAACTAATGTCGCACTACCTTTACTCGCGCGTGCTTGTCCGCGCGATGCTTCGCGCGCCCCCAGCGCACCCATCGCGTGCGTCCTCGGCACAACGCGCGTCCTCGCCACTCGCCGCACCCTTCGCGCCACGACCCAAGGCACATGTTGCGCGCGCGTCATCCCCCGTTGCGGTAGCATTTCGCCCGCGCGCCAGTCGCGCGCTTTCTTCCGCCCGATTCCCTTCCCCCGCCTCGCACGCGATGGCTTGCGTCTCACCCGCCTGCCGTGCTAACCTCTTGCGCGCATGATAGGCCCGGCTCGAGGCGTTCTTAAGTTGCCTAGCCACATCCGCATCATTCCCGTCCCCTTCAAGCACTTCCTTGTCCTCAAGGACGAAATCAGGGAACTGGTCGCGCATCTCATCTAGATCTTCCCAAGTGGCCTCCTCCGATGGCAACTCCTCCCATTCAACTAACACCTCCCAACGATAGCGTCCAGCTTTCCTTACTTTGCGATACTCGATCGCGCGGCTTGGCCTCACAATGGCTCGCCCATCTGTCGCTGTCGCGGGTAGCTCTTCGCACCACTTGTGCGCTTCACCCAAACTTCTCTTGAGTTGCGAGACATGTATGACCGGATGAATGTGCAAACTCTCCGACAGCTCTAGGCGATAAGCTACTTGCCCTATACGCTTCAAAATCTGATATGGCCTGTAATAGCTTCAAGTAGACATAATCGCCTGGCTCGAAACTCTCCTCGCGTCTCTTACCATCATGAAAGGTCTTCATCCTGTTAATAGAACCCTCGAGAGTTTTCTGTAACTCTCGCAACATCAAGTCTCGCTCCTCGAGCTCTCGACCAACTTCATTGTTGATCGCACCTTCTTCCGAATAACTCACGAGCGTAGGTGGTTTGCGCCCGTGCACAAGCTCGAACGGCGTAGTCTTGGTCGAGCCGTGATAAGTGGTATTGTACCAATATTCAGCCCCTGGTAGAAAATTTTCCCACTTCTTCGAAAATTGATGCACGTAGTATCGTAGATATTGCTCTAGCATGCGGTTAGTCACCTCGGTTTGACCATCCATCTGTGGGTGATAGGTCGAACTCATTGATAGCTTGGTCCCTTGCAACTTGAAGAATTCAGACCAAAAGCTACTCATAAAAATTCGGTCACAATCAGAGACAATCGAGCGTGGCACCCCGTGCAACTTCATAACGTACTCGATGAAGTCCATAGTAATGTCTTCCCAAATATTCTCGGGCACTGGCAAGTGTTGCAGTAATCCGCCCGGTCGATACACTATCTCAAAGTCGAAGCCCATGAGCTTTGAGACAAACTTCTGCTGTTCGGGCGTCACGATTCTTTGTTCGAGTAGTGCTTGAGCAGTTGCTGGTCAGTCACGATCCGAAACCGCCGCCCCAAGAGATAGGGTCTCCAGCAGCGCACAGCTTCTACAACCGCGAGCATCTCCTTCACGTACACAGACAGCCCTAGTCGGGTCGTGCCTAGAGCCTTACTGAGAAAGGCCAAGGGACGTCCTTCTTAGGCTAGTATCGCACCAATGCCTATGTCGCTTGCGTCCGTGTGTACCTCGAACAACACATCGAACCTCGGCATAGCTAGCACGGGCGTCGAAGTCATCGCGCCCTTAAGCTTCTCAAATGCAGTCTCGCTAGCTTCGGTCCACTTGAATCCTCCCTTCTTGGTCATCTCAGTTAATGGTTTGGCAATGGTCCCATAGTCCTTCATGAACTTCCGATAGTAGCCCGTGAGCCCTAGGAATCCACGTAAATGTGTTAGACTTGTTAGTTTAGGCCAATCGACCATAGCCTCAATCTTCCTTGGGTCGACTTTCACACCATTATGAGAAATAAAGTGACCAAGATACCCGACCATCTCTTGTCCAAACGAGCACTTGGATGGCTTGATATGAAATGAGTTAGCCTCCAAAATTTCGAGCACCACACGTAAGTGCCCCATACGCTCGGCCCATGTCTTCGAGTAGGCCAAGATGTCGTTGAAAAATACTAAGACGAACTTGCGCAGATGGTCTTTGAAGATGGAATTCATGGCAAACTGAAAAGTGGATGGAGCGTTGCAAAGCCCGAACAGCATAACCAAATACTCGTAGTGCCCTTGGTGTGTACGAAAGGCCGTCTTTGGAATATCAGCGAGATCCTTCTAGCTCGTTGAGCATGTCGTCGACACTCGGTATAGGAAAACGGTCCTTGATTGTCGCGGCATTCAGTGCTCGATAGTCAGTACAGAACCTCCACGTGTCATCTTTCTTCTTTGCTAGTATCACTAGTGATGAGAACGGGCTTGAGCTATGCTGAATGAGCCCGGACTCAAGCATCTCGCAAACTTGCCTTTCTATCTCCGTCTTCTGGAAGTGAGCATACCGATATGGATAGACGTGTACAACATGCTGCTCATTGGTTAACGGTTTGTGGTGATCGAACTCCCGGTGTGGCCACCCCCGCGCCAAACCCGCTCTATGCTCTTGAGACCAACCTCCTTGGTCCCACTGGTCTCACTGGCCTTCAACGTGACTTGTTGTTCTCCCGCTTTGAACTTCATGACTCCGCTTTTGTAGTTGGTGGTCGCTTCTTCTAAACCTTCGAGCCATTGGACTCCTAACAAAACGTCGGGTCCAACCAAGGGTAGTGCGTAGAGATCAGCCTTGATGGTGACTCCTTGGAACTTGATTGGCACTTCGCGATAAGACTCGGTGCACTTTAGCCATTCACCATTGGCTACTCGAACCTCGAATGGCTCTATCGCCGTCGTGGGAAATTTCAGTTTTTGGGATAGCGTTGTGTTGATGAAATTGTGTGACGACCCATTATCCACGAGCACGACCACGCGGCGGTCTTTCACCCACGCCGGTAGCCGCATCGTCCTCGGGCCTCGAGTACCCGCCATTGCGTGCATCGAGACTTCAGCTTCCTCTTCGAGCACCTTAATTTCTACATCACCTTCCTTAATCTCGGGCTCCTCGTCATCCAAATCAATGACGTCTATCACGAATGCCTGTTTACATCGGTGGCCCGGGGTGAACTTTTCTTCACACTTGAAACATATCCCTTTCTCGCGTCTGCGCCTCATCTCCTCGAGCTACAGTCGTTTGATCTCCGGGGTTGGTGGTCGCGTGCTGCTGGGTGGTCGGATGCTCGGTGCGACATTAGTTGTGCATCGCGGTTCGGGGAAACGTGCGTCCGCCCGTCCCCTTCGAGTAGCAGCGAGGTGATCGTCGCGGCGTCGGGCGATCTCCATGGCTGCATGCATCGAGTCTGGCTGTTCCAATCGAACCTCCCCGGCTAGATCATATTTAAGGCCGCCGATGAATGCCCCGACCAACGCGGTCTCGGGCCAGCCCCTTACGCGGCATGCTAGCCTCTCGAACTCCTTCAAGTAATCGCGTAGGCTGGCGGTTTGGCGTATGCGCGAGAGTGCCTCATAGTAATTATGGTAGTCGGAAGTCCCGAAACGCATGAGTAACTCGCGCTCAAAATCGCCCCACCTAATGACTCGCTGCCGGTTGCGATACACGCTCATGAGCCATTGCCACCATACATTGGCCTCGCCATCTAAGTAATAAGCCGCATATCGCACGCGGTCGTTCCCCTCGGTTTCGTTGAGCTCAAAGTACTGCACGGCCCAGTTGAGCCAAGCCTCGGGGTCGGTGCCGGTAAAGGTGGATAGCGTGAGCCTGGGTTTATCGGGCTTCGGGCGATCGTGAACGTTGGATGCCTGCGATCGTCGCTCGAAGTCACCCTCGTTGTCGCGCTCGTCGTGCCGGTGTTCCTCTTCCTCGGGTCGATCGCGCCTCGGCTGTCGCGGAGGTGGCCGCGCATGGTGTTGGAAACTGTGCACCATCTCATCGAACCTCCGGTTCACGGTCTCCATTAAATCGCGAACTGATGCCTTTGTCGTGTCGAACCCCTCCTCTAGGGTGTCCATGGCTTCGCTCATGCTTCGGACTTGAACGTCAAGATTGTCGATCTTGTCCTTCATCTCCTTGTTGGCCATGGCTTTCTTTTCTTGCTTTCGCTCTTTGCTTCGAGGACTCAGTTTGAAGTTTTTTGGGTTTTTTGGATTTTTCTCTTTTTTTTTTTTTTTTAATTTCGAACGAGAATAAAAAGGAGGGAAAGAAAATGAATAAGAAAGGAAAAGACACACGATCTAGATACTCTCAATGAAAGCACCAATGATGAAGATCGCGTGTCCCGATTGCCGATAAGCCATAAACCCGTGCCTTGAATCGACAATAGGTGTCTCTCGATCCATGTGAGTGCCTCTTGAAATGAATAAAATTGCAAAACAAATCAAGAAGAAATCTAAGGCAAAGTGTTTGAACAAATGTTTGATTTTTTGTATTAATTTTTTAATGATAAAAATAACAAGAGGAAGGGCTTTTATATCAAATAAATCTATCCCTAATCTAGCTATAACTCTAATAAAGCGCAATAAAATATTAAGTATCCTAAACAATCTAGAAATCTTATGCAAAGAGGAAACTAAATATGCGGA